AGTGATATAAAATGGCATCAAATAAGCTATTCACAAATAAAATTAATTGTTCTGTATGTGTCGTATGAGTTTTGCAAAAGCCTATTGAAATCAGATACTTTTTTTTGAAGGACGCTGTATAAGTAGAGGTAGCTGCTATACCTGCGCCTTATTTTCTTGGGCTGCATTTCATCGATTTAATTATTCATGAACGTGTCCGTGTTCTTGCCGTGACTTTTAAAATGAGTTCTTCTCAGTTCAAATTCATCATTAAAGTAATTAACAAACAGAGGATTAATGTATAAATGTGACACTCATCGATACTGCGTGTGAGATATTAAGCATTACTGCATACGTTTGATGCTCACCCTAGTTACATGGCATGTATTTTTACCAGTGCATCATCGAAGTAGAAATGTGATGTAAATGCTTATATTAGGAAAGTTTAAAGATCCTGAGCTGCCGATAAATGCTTAAATTGTTGGCCTAATTCCTTCGGTCGTGTTTTTATTAGGGCGAAATAATGCTATAGCATTGACGACGTATGATGTATCAGTAGACAAAGGATACAAATTATGATTTGGAAGTAGTTTAATATACCATGACTGGTATGACTGGCCACACTCAGTCACATTTTCTAAAACAGTCACCCCAGACAACTGACCGGTCAATAGCTTAGTGAATGTAAAAAAATGAAGGTATGAAGTTTCTCAGCCTCATTGCTGCCATGAGCGTGCGCCGGACCTGAATATATTATCACGACCAATGAAAAGTTACAGGAAGGCTACACGTCGTTTATTAGCTTGTATATTAGAAATTGTGAGCAAGCAATCGTCGATCAATATAGTGCAAATATGATTCATAATATATTAAGTCTAATTTTATTTGCATAGTTCAATAATCATATATTTCTGCAACGCGATGGCTGTTTAGGGTCGAGGTAAGACACTGGGTCGGGGAGGGAATGAGTATTGGAGGGGATGGGATGAGGTCCGGGGTGATGGGGAAGAGTGGGGGAAGGTGAGTAAAGAGATGAGGCCTGGGAGCTGGTGCGAAGGGAACGGAACGGAGAAGGGTAGATGAAGGGAAGGGTAGATGAAGGGAAGGGTAGAGATAGGGTCAGTGGGAAAGGACAGGTCAGATGGAACGAAAAATGACGAGCCTTCCAGTAGAGATTAACTCCTAAATAGCGCGCTGGGGAGAATGGGGCATGCCGACATAGTTCCAGAGGCTCCCTTTCCCCTGATAGGGGAATTCAGTCCCCAAAGGCTGGACTAGAGCCGTTATGCTACGACGACTCGGCGTTAGAGAGCTCACGGTCACGTGCCTGACAACACGTGAGTTTAAACTGGAGCCCTAGCAACGCGCTTGCTGCGAGCCTGGGACTAGGCTCACTAGAGCCTTAGCAACACGTAAGCTGGAACTGAAGCCCTGTAGCAGCACTCAAGTTGAGACGGCTCAAACAACAGCTGATCACTCATGTCAATTTTGTCACGGTAGCCTACAACTTATTAAAAACGATTAAAATTGTTTAAATTATTTAAATAAAATAAAATTACGATGTTTTAGAACGAGGAACATAACTGAATGGTGTATGCATGTTCGTATGCAGCAGTGTGACTTGCAACCATTGTATACTGATGACAGACCTCGCTGACATTCTCTCTGTTAGTGTCGTTGGGAATTTTTAAAAATGCATCTAATTTAGAGCATGTTGACAACATTACACCGAAATCTTTCGTACAGTTTTATTATGTAATTTATATTATGTATGAATCATGCTGATTTTTAAATAATATTTAATACTATTAGGTAAAATCTAAAGTCTCTATCTATAAATGTAGGGGTAGCGCTGTAGCGGAAAACCTCGTATCGCTACTTAAATATGTAGCGGGCGCTACCGCTACCGCTACAATTGCCTAAATTCAGCGCGGCTCCCGTTACCGCTACTGAAAATGTAGCGGCCGCTACATGTAGCGCGCTACTGCCCACCTCTGGGTCTTCTTCAATTGATGTGTTTGGGCGCTTGCGACTTGCGGCCGCTCAGGTGAAGCAGACTTTTTAGGAGCTACGTTGTGGATGAAATGAATAATTTTAGTCTATGGGGAGATGGGCAGGGGTGGTCTCTGACAGGCAGCCCGCAATGCTGCATAATGTAACAAATGGTGCACGGTTCGTGGAACTCACGTACTTGCTAACCCAAAATTCGAAGTATAGTTCGAGACTTCGAGGTCCAAGTTGGAGTTACTTGGTAAAATTATGAACCAAAAAGAGTCACTTGGTAAAGTTATGAACCATCTAAGCAGCGACATATTGTTATGTAATTATTATAATAACTTGAGCTTAATTCACATTAATTGATTTATTTTCTTGTCTGGTTGAGATTTATTATGTATTAGAGTTCACGTTTGCTTATTTTATTATAGTTTGCAATCAAATACATTTTTTCTTTATGAACGAGAAAAATTTTTCTATATGACTAACTGTTATAAATTAAAGTACGAATGACCTCAAGTCCACGACGTGGCTGTGGGCCTGCGGTCAATGCTACTAGTTTAATACGACTTTTAACTCGAGATCGAGATTCCGGGGTCTTGAAGAGCCTCTAGTCAGCTGTAACTATCTTGAATCGTAGTTAAAGTCTAATTTCTGGGCCGTTGCAGAACTTGAATTTGTGTCTATGCTACATCGCATGTTGCATACTTGCATTGCGACATGCGATTGCGTGGTTCCCATATTTCCGTTTCGTAATCATCCCTTATTGCTAAACGTCTTACTGCATACACAAGGCATTACAGCGTTACTTATATAACTGCAATCGTTTCCTGAAAATCAAAAATTTATATTTTTTTTCTTATCATTCATGTCTTATCATCATATCTCGTATATGTTGATATCTTTACATATTCGGTAAGATATCGTTTACTATTATTTCGCTCCCATTATTGAAAAGTTTTTAAATTGAAAGATTTACAAGTTCAACGTCAGAAAATACAATAATAGGAATAATAATTATAATAAATAAATGAAAATAGGTTCAGATCGTGCGCTTCAGCACGGCACAGGGTAGGGTAGCAACTTACGGCTTCGTGTTAGAGGTGCAAGCTTTTCTGGGCCCCGGTGAGGAGTCGTCTAGTAGGGGGTAGTGTGCTTGTGAAATCCAATCATCATCCGTACAGAGCCACGACGAAAATCCAAAACCTGGATGATCACCACAGGAACGACACAGGTGGGAGCAGCAGGGATGGTGGCTGAAGATAACCCGAATGTTGGCGGCCAGCGTTGCCCGACTTTGGCTTCGCTGGAGGAAAGTCTCAAAAATCGTTTAAGAAAAGTCGCGACCGACCTGGCCACTGAATATTTGCATTAAATTTTAAAATGTGATTGTAGTAAAATGAATTTGAACCATACCAATTAGTTGCCATTACATTTGAAAGAAGGTATACTCTAATTTAACCTTTTCGCCAGCTTTTCAGATTTACTGCAAATATTTTTATCCATGCACAAATTTCACGAAGTGTGGACGGAAGAAATGTCCAGGACTTTTTCATTGTATTGGGCATCATTTTTAGAATAGAATAGAATAGAAGTGTCGGCGTTGAAGAAATAGGCCCATGGCCTGTTGCCGATTCTTGAACTTTTCGTGACTTGATTCACAAGGGATCCGGCCTTTGGAACCCGATCTTTCCATAACCGACGATTGNGGTCCACATGACTTGTTTGGATTTACAGCGATAAGGCGCTTGAGAACCTCTTCTTCTTGTATTTCAAAGCTTGTTAATTTAGAGCCGACTGGGCGCTCCTCAATAGCTGGAATATTGTTCAAGTCCTCTTCAGTAAATACGCTACTGAAAAAATGATTAAGTACGTTGGCTTTGCCCTCAGTTACTAGCTGTCTCTTATACACAACTAGATGTGTATAAGAGACAGCCTTCATCTTGCACTTCGAGCTAGCGTATAAAAAGAAGGCTTTCGGGTTCTTTTTTGCATTTTTAGCAATACTTTTTTCGAGGGTTTTTACAGCGGTGCGAAATATAGGAAATATAGGTTGGAAATTTTTTTCCAACCTATTTTTTTTTTCCAAGGAAATTTTTTGGAAATATAGGTTGTTAAGAATTTTGTAGCGACTTCAAATTTCATCTTCGCAGTGATATTGAATTTCATACAAAACTAACAGCTAGTATGAGATGGCTAGAGATTTAATATTCCAATGAGCAGTTCCATATCAGAGGAAAATGGCAAGACTATTGACAATCGAATGAATCCTTTTCGACGACTCCTTTGATCTCACATGCAAGAAAATTCGCTTAGCATTTTAAATCTTAGCCTTCGATGACGATAATTACTTCATGTCAAAACGTGCAATGATTTGATTTAATCAAACCATCATTTTCTCTTATATTCCACTCGAGATGAGTGAAGACTTCCGCATATGATAGATTATAATAAGTCTATAAAGATTCTAAATCAGAGTGAATGACGATCACTAAACACGCCGAGCGTCAATAACTCTTAACAGACAGATTCATTGCCAATGACGGAAAACCTCTGATTTGGGGGGCGCAAAGCCCCCCAGTTTTACCCCGCGCCTCTACGCGTATTGTGCTTTGCACGAGCTCTCATTATTCTACTCACAGTACGTGCGATTGTAGAGCGAGGTAAAGTTTTCACTCTCGCAATCCCACAGCCCAAACCTCTGCTCCAATCTCGCTGGAAGTTTCACCACTATAAGTCGAAATTGAATTTCCAAACTATTTTTGCTCGTGTGACTTTTCGATAAAATGTCGTTTTCTATGCTTTTTTCACAAAAAACGGTGTTTTTTTCACCCTTTTTCAGAGGGAAATTTTTTCCACGCTCAATATCTCCCACACCGAGCCATAACTTTTCTCCAAACTTTGCATGAGCATTCTCTCATCCATGGGCTGCATTATCCTGCAAAACTCGTCTCCAAAATTTTCCTTTAAGGGGGGACTTTTTTCATTTTTTTCTTTTTCCAAAATCCAAGATAATTTTACTCTTCATGTCACAGCTCGGCAACGCGTGCTCCGATCAAGNCAACTTGCTGGTAAGTGAGGCTCAAAGACAAGCCTTCGGCGATCTTATCGCTCTTCTGGCAAACGGCAAACAGGTACGACCTCATCATCGACTTGTTAAGCTATCACCTTTCCTCGACGAAGACGGCCTCCTGCGTGTAGGTGGCCGGTTAAAGCTAGCAGACTTAGGGTGGGATATAAAACACCCTATCCTGCTGCCCGACGGTCATCCCGTAAGCACGGCTATTTTTCAACACTACCATTCGAAGGCTAAGCATCAAGGTCGACTGGTGAGTCACGCAACGGTTCGAGAGGGCGGTTATCATCTCGAACATGGTAGAAGAGCCGTCATGAGACTTGTAAGTAATTGCGTTACTTGCCGTCGCCTACGCGCCCTCCCTCACAACCCTCGCATGGCCGATTTGCCGGCCGAACGCACATCACCTGCTCCACCATTCACTGCAATTGGCATGGACGTGTTCGGTCATTGGTGGATAAGCAACGGGCAATCGACTCGCAGGACCTGCTCGCGACGGAAGTGCTGGGCGCTTCTCTTCACCTGCCTGGCGTCTCGTGCCGTGCACGTAGAGTGCCTTCCCGCCTTGGACACCGCAACGTTCATCAACGCCTTCAAGCGCTTCCTAGCCCTCAGAGGCCCGTGCAACTTGGTGCGCTCAGATCGTGGCTCAAACTTCATCGGAGCCAGGAATCAGGCGTCCGAGGTCAACCTGGAGCAAGTGGCTCGCACTCTGACCGACCTGGGCGTAACGTGGACCACTGTCTCTTATACACATCTAGATGTGTATAAGAGACAGTTGCTGGTCATTGACTTTTTTTGGTGGAGTGTAAATAAAAGATAAATTTCGCTTTAGACAGCTTTGTAATCTAAAGCGAATGAGAGACATTGTTGGGAGATGTGTGTATTATAAAGGAAAAAAGTGTAAAATGAATGAAGAAAAAGAAGAAGGGGGGGTGAGGTGGTGAATAACTGGTTGCCATCGCTACTCCCGGTAATTTTCACTGAATTTGAGTATTGGAGAAACTGACAATTAGTTTTGACTGCAGCTCATAAGGTACGAGACATTAAAATTAACTGCCAACACAGAAAGAATAGAATATCACTATAGAATAAAGAATAGAATATAGAACTGTTGTAGGGTGTAATTTTTAACATTTGTATATTGTATTATTGTGAGTTCGCCTGTCTCACGCTAGCCTTGTATTAATTATTTCCTCGTTAATTC